AGAGGTGCTGCGGGCCCGAACCTCATCCCGCTGGCACTGAGTGCCCGGGAAGCGAGTGCCAGCGAGGCGCGGTGCTGCGGGGCTCCCGGGGAGGCGGGACGGCCTTTGCTCCAGAGGCATTCGTGGTAACTGCTGATGGCACTGCCCGGGAGATGGACTTGTGGGCCATCGGGACGTGGGATACACCAGGTTGGCGCAGCGCGTCAGCATCGCTTTCCAAAGTTTTTGCTGTAACAGGCGCTGGAATGTGTAGTCTGGCTTTGCATGAAGATTAGTTTCCTCCCCGAGGTACTTCCCACCAACTTTCAAGAGCGAGGGCTGTGTTCCTGGTGAAAAGGGCAGGGCAGAGCTGCTTCCTCTGGTGGAGCCTCAGCTTCCCAAGCTTCCCAAGGCCCTGTGTTTGGCTGGGAACTTCATTGCCAGCATTCTCCACCACTGCCTACAGTTTTCGTTGCCATGGACTTCTAGTCCACAATTTTAATTTTTTTTAATTTTTTTTTTTCTTGGAGGGGCAGGCAAATCTCATACCATGGCACAATTATGTCCATCTCTTGTTCTTACCCATTTTTAATTATTTCTGATATTAATTTTCCTTCCCTGACCTTCACAAGACCAGAGTCAGACTTTTCACTAAACTGCTCAAGGTGACCAAGCTTCATGTCTTCACTAAGGGCAAGTCATGCCTGACCAATCTGGTGGCCTTCTACAACAAGGCTAGAGAGATAGTGGATGGTGGCAGAGCAACTGACGTCATCTACCTGGATTTGTGCAGGGTGTTCGACACTGTCCCACATGACAGCCTGGTCTCCAGACTGCCAAGGCATGGATTTGACAGATGAACTCAGTGGATAAGAGATTGGCTGGATGGCCACACCCAGAGAGCTCTGGTCAATGGCTCAATGTCCAAATAGAGGCAGGTGACAAGTGGTGTCCCTCAGGGGTCAGTATTGGGACCAGTGCTGTTTAACATTTTTGTTGGAGACATGGACAGTGGGATTGAGTGTATCCTCAGCAAGTTTGCTGATGATACCAAGCTTTGTAGTGTGGTTGACACCCTAGATGGAAGGGATGTCATCCAGAGGGACCTTGACAGGCTGGAGAGGCCAATGCCAACCTCAGGGACTTCAACAAGGTAGGAGATGAGAAGCTCAACATGGCCTGCCAGTGTGTGCTGGAGCCCAGAGAGCCAAACACCTCCTGGGCTGCATCAGAAGAAGTATGGCCAGCAGGGCCAGGGAGGTGATTCTGCCCTCTAGTCTGCTCTGGTCAGACCCCACCTAGAATACTGTGTACAGCTCTGGAGCCCTCAGCACAAGAAAGATATGGAGCTGTTGGAGAGGGTCCAGAGAAGGGCCACCAAGATGATCAAAGGCCTGGAGCACCTCTGCTATGAAGACAGGCTGAGAGAGTCGGGGCTGTTCAGCTTAGAGAAAAGAAGGCTCCATGGAAAACTTATAGGTGCCTTCCATACTTGAAGGAGGCCTACAGAAAAACTGGGGAAGGGCTTTTCATCAGAGAACATAGCGATAGAACAAGGGGTAATGGTTTTAAACTGAGAGGGGAGAGATTTAGGTTAGATATTAGGAAGAAATTCTTCACTCTTAAGGGTGGTTAGGAGCTGGAATGGGTTGCCCAGGGAGGTTGTTGATGCCCCATCCCTGGAGGTTTTTAAGGCCAGGTTGAATGAGGTTTTGTTTGCAAGATGTCTTTATTGAGTCGTAGCTGATTTAGGACCCCTTGCGGCTGTATAGCCCCCTTCCACATGCAGTATTTTGCGTTTATCAGGAATGCATTTGTCATTTTATTATCTGGTTTCTGGAATCATGAAATCTTTCTTTTATAGTCAACTGTTGTTGTTTTTTTTTCTTCTGAATAATTGAATACTCTTGGCTGTTTTTTTCATTTTGATATGCAACATCTTGTGTGAATTACATATATGAGTATGTTCATGGGAACCAGCCATTCTTACTGGTGCACTCCATTTAAGTCTTGAATATTTACCTCAAATTGTAAATAAGATTGTAAGATTAAGTACTTACATAGGTATTAATTAGACTGAAAAATTGTAGTACTTATTTTATTTAAGATTTCTTTGTGAAGAATCTGTCCTTATGTTTTTTGAGACTGCTGTGTTGACGAGCTCACAAGTGTCTACATGCTTACTGACTTTCAAGAGAACTTGAGAAAATATGCTTAAGAGAACACGGCTTCTTTATGTAGAAATGGCACCTTAGGCTACCAAATATTTCCTTATTTGATTTCCTGGCCATAAATATGCACAGATATATTATGTGGTGCATAATTAGGAAGCTCAGAGCTTTCCAAAAATCACCAAGCATGTAGAACAGGTATGCAGAGTACTGACAGGAAGCCAGGAGCTTACTGTTCACAAATGGCAGAGAAAGTACTGGTTTCGCTGCTTCATTCTGCCACAAATAAAGCTGCCTGCTTGGTTAGGTTTACTGTATATGGTGGAGTTGTCTCCATGTGCTTTGTGCAAGTGTTTGATGTTACTGCTATCTGGGGTCATTGTTTGGTAGACTCAGTTGTGTTATTTACATGCTTGTATATTTCAGACAGGCCTTCTACTAGGACAAATAAGGTGTGTTTATAAAAGGTAGACAGGTAATGCTGCTTACCTAGATAACCGTGGCAGCAAAGTTCAGAGAGGTGTGTTTATGAAAATTTCAATAAGTTAGTGAAAGTGTGCTGTTAATACTTTGGGACCCACACATCCAAGAAGCATATTATTTAGTGCCAAGTGCCAAGGAATTGAATGAGGTGTATCAAAAGGAATTTTCCTTCTTTATAGAGCTTTTATAGCATTAGGCAAAAGTTCAACAGTCAAAAACCGCATGGAAGATCAAGAAACGGTAGAAATGTTTAGTAGGAGAATGTGAAAGAGGCATTCACATTGGAGAGACTGTGATCATTTATTATTATCAATAGACTAATTTCTTAGCGTTGCAGACAAGTAATATTTGGTCAAGTGCCACAGGGAACAGCAAATACCACATCAGAGGAATACAGATTGCTGTTTCCTAGAAGTTATAACAGTCTTTATGTAACTTTTTCAGAACTTCAAAATGCCTAATTTCCTGACAGCTGTTCCTATTTTCAGTAATTGTTGGAACGTTTTTGCACGTTCAAATATGCATTCATATATATTCTGAACTATATTAAAATGCTTTATAACTCATTTGCCTCTTTGAAGTTGGTTTTAAGCAACCTCTATGTTGAAGCTTTTAGGCAATCAGCTGAAAAAT